ATTTCCTAAGGAATGGTACTGTCACTCAGTTCCTGGATCCCACTTTGGAAATTTCAGGCTAAGCTCAAAACTCGAATATGTCCGAGGCTTGCTCCAACACAACAGGTGCCAGGCTGGAAAGCTGTTGCTGGCCTTCACCTCCAGTGGGCAGCCTATGATCAGCACTTAGAAATACACTGGATCTCCAGGTTCTCCTTCCCGTGGAACAGCAGTTTGCCAGAGGTAAGAGGGAGTGAATGCTGCTAGAGTGTGATGTGAATTAAGGGCTGCAAAAGGAATCTGAAGGCCACACGAACTTTTCTGCCCTGGTACATTGCTTTTTGCCAGTACTGACAATTTCAGCTTGGGATGTGCAGAACTCATCGCTTCTGAGGAATCAGGACATTTACCTCTTTTGCAGCTACACTGCCGCCATCGTGTGGAGCTGAGCAACTGCAGCGGGGAAGGTAAAACTCACCCCAGGCTTTTTGTTGGGACACTGTTAGTGTGGGAGCAGTCAGTGAACTGTTTGGGATCTTGGGTCTGTAAGAGGAAAGGAATGGGAAGTTACAGAGACAAGGAAACTGAACAGCACCAGGGTGTGCACAGGTGATGCCCAGCACTTTCTTTATGTTCTTGGACCTTTCTCTGGGGGTTATTGGAGGTTTCAAAATGGCACATGGACTCACCAGACTAGGAGTATGAGACCCTACATACAGCTGGCACAAAGAGTGCACAGCCCCAGTGTTTCTGGTGCACTGATAGGCACTGAGGAGAAGGGGCAGTCCAGCAACTCCTTTTTTACTGGTACATTTTTCTGTGTGAGCTGTAGCTGTTTAATTTCCTGTGTCCACAGCAGCTATCTCAAAAGCCCAATTATGTCCTTTTGGCTCCTTAAAATACTTCTCCTGAGACAATCTCTGCCCAGGATGTCCTGGGCCTCTGGGCCAGTCACAATGGGGTGACTCTGCCATTTGCTGGCAGTCAGGCTCACTCAGCTTCCAGCACAGTCACTGTTGGAATCCCCCTGTCACCCCAGAAATCCAGAAGGATTCTGCCCCTACATATCTTGATGGCATCAGGGTACTTTGTGCACCAGTGTCAATTAAAGCTTTTATATCCCATGCCAGGCCATCGGATCCACACAGTCCAATAGATCAGATTGCCCCTTTCCTCCACCTGGCAGGAGACAGGGCCCATCTAGTTCTCATCATGGTACTCACTGCTCACTTCTTGTAAATGAGAGCAGGTATCCTTCAAGAGGATGGAAAGTAATGTCAGCCTTCCTGTTGTGTCTGAGGACTTGCCCACAGGAAATGGGAAAGGCATTTGTACCTGTGCTGCCAGGGCAGAAGTGAGTTTTCCATCCCACTTCTTTATGTGCTCTCCATAGTCATGCAGGGAAAAGCAAAGGTTACTCATGGTGTGCACCCTCTCTCTCAAGCAGAAGGTTCCTGCTTCCAATAGCAGAGACTCCAGGCTCTAGGGCTGGGGTGTGGGACACTTCTTTTAATCACTGGTAGTCCTCTTGAAATTGCTGCAGATTCTTGGACAGTCTTTCCATGGACAGGACACAGGACTGGGGAGTGGGGGCAAAAAAAATACTTCATATATAGCTGGAGTTTGATAAAGAAGTTTGATAACTACTCTTTGTTCTTCTTCTTTCCATGACAGCACTGCCAATGACCTGTCATATGACACTGGCATGCTCTGTCAGAACTTCTGCCAGAGTTTTTGTACACTGGACTTCATCTGGATTTACAGGGGATTGCTTATCATTTGAACCCTTATAGATTGCTTCCAGCACCACTAATTCTCTCCAAGATACTGGGTACCCCTTGCTCGATGGTGTTCCACACATCTCAATGCACTACTTGATCATCCCTGGGACTGTGCCTTTCCCTCACACTTGGCAGGAGTTGCCTTCAGAGCCTGAGAGTTTTTGTGCTCTTCCCAATGCCCTTGTCAGTGTTCACATCCCAGGACAAGGATCCCAGCTGCTTGGCTTCACTACCATCCCCTTCCATATGGGCCAGGATACCCCAGCACTGGAGTAGCCAGGTCACCAGGGGCTCACCCAACTGGTGGCTGGGCCTT